GTGGTGAGAATCTTTGCTTCTTGACGTTGAGCCTTAGTCCATACTGAAGGCTGCAGTCCTTGACCCTTCGCAGCAAGTGCGTGAGATCCTCCTCAGTTTCAGCAAGCAGGGTTGTGTCATCTACCACTTAAATTTTTTGGGTCTTGGCTGCAAGCAAAAGCACTTGACTATGTGGATCACAGATTTTGGCTAATCTTGACAAGAATGGGAATCCCAGAACACCTGATTATGCTTATGCAAAACCTATAATTGGACCAGGAAGCAATCATCAGAATAGAGCAAAAAACACTGTACGGTTCAAAATCAGGAAAGGAGTGTGTCAAGGATGTATCCTATCTCCATACCTTTTCTATCTATCTATGGAACAGATCATTTGGCATTCTGGATTTTATGAGGAGGAATGTAGCATCAGGCTTAGAGGAAGACTCATCAACAAACTGTGTTATGCAGATGACACAACCTTGCTTGCTGAAACTGAAGAAGGCCAGAAGCACTTGATTAAGGTGGTCAAGGACTGAAGTCTTCAATATGGATTAAAGCTCAACATCAAGAAGACAAAGATTTTCACCACTGGGCCAATTGGCAGCACCATGATGGAGAAGAGATTGAGATTGTTAACAATTAGAGCTTACTGGGTTCATAGTAAACACCCTTGGCACCAGCAGTCAGGAAATCAAAAGATGCATTGTATTAGGAAAATCTGCTGTCAGGGACCTCTCCAAGTGTGCTAAAGATTAAAGAATGTCAGTCTAGAGACTAAGGTGTGCCTGGTCCAAACCATGGTCTTTGCAAGTACTTACTTGCTGAGCATCAGAGAGCTAAACAAAGATGAAAGATGAAAGATGACAGGTGAAATGATTGTTGTGGTGCTGGAGAAGAGTGTTGAACATACATTCCATGGACTACCAAAAGAACAAACAGGAGAGGATGAAACCAAGCTGCTACTTGGAGGCAGTGGTTTTGGGCTCTGTCTCATATACTTTAGGCATGTTGCCAGAAGGGACCAGTCCTTGGAGAAGGATATCATGTTTGGAAGGGTGCAGGGACAATGCCGGAGAGGAAGACCCTGGATGAGATGGATTGACACAGAACTGGGGTAAAGAAACTGAGTTTGGCTCAGGATAGAGCAGCAGTCAGAGATATTGTGCATAATGTTGGTATGAGTCAGTCAACTCAATGACACATAACAACAATGTATTTTTTCTTGCATCACATTTAGTCAGTCCTCAGATTTTTAATTTACTTGTTTCTGTCTTAACTTATTCTTTGTGTTTTCTGAGGTTTTGATAGGTTATTTTTGTTGTTTGTTTCCTTTTTTTACTTTGGTAGGGTTCTTGGATTCATTTTCTTTACATTTTTTAAAAAGTTTAACATTTTATGTTAACTGTACCTCAGTTGCTCATTTTATTTATATTTTCTGAATTTGGAGATTCAATTGTCTCCTTAAACTGAAGAGTTGTTTTGTAGTTTATTTTTTTCTTGAAAATTTCCAGTTTATTTTTGTCTTGGCCAGAGAATATTTATAAACTTTCTGTTTTTGACAATTTATTGAAGATGTTTTCCTTCGTTACCTAATATATGGCATATTTTTAATATATACCTCATGGGCACGAATAGAATTTTCTCTTTTAATGATAGGTGGCATTTTAGCTCTTCTTGAATAATCTTACTAATTCTTTTATTAGTTTTAATGAAACAGACTTTGTATTTCCATTCATTAATTCATAGTTGCACACTTTCCTCCCTGCCCACCCCTCCCCCATTTGCTTTTCTCTTTGAAAATGAAAAAAAAAATTTCATTGTTATACACTCCATTACACTCCACTGTGCAGCTTTTATCCTGGACTCTTGTCATGCCAATAATACCTAATATATATCCCTTTTAAACATTGCTCTCCCTCATCTGTTTCAATGCAGTACACATTATTTATCCCCTCTTAGTTGCCCCCAACTCCAGTGTCAGTCCCGCTTTACAACAGTGGCACTATGCAGTATTTGTCCTTTTGTGACTTGAGTATTTCACTCAGCATAATGTCCTCCAGGGTCACCCATGTTGTTTAATATTTCATGAGTTCCTTGTTTTTCAATGCTGCATAGTATCCCATTGTGTGAATATACCAGAGCTTCTCTATCCATTCATTTGTTGATGGGCACTTAGGTTATTTCCAGATCTTTGCTATTGTGAACAAAGCTGCGAAAAACACGTTGTGCATGTATCTGAGTGGTAGCTCTGGTTTCTTTAGGGTATATTCCCAGTAGTGTAATTGCTAAGTCAATGGTATTTCTATTTGCAACTTTTTGAGAAAGTGCTATACTGCCATCCATAGTGGTTGCACCATTTTACACTCCCACCAGCAGTAAATAAGGGTTCCAGTTTCTCCGCAACCTCACCAGCATTTGTTGTTTTCTGTTCTGTTAAATTTTGCTATTCTTACTGGTTTGAGATGATATCTCATAGTTGTTTTGATTTGCATCTTAGAGCTAGGGATTTTGAACACTTGTCATGTGTTTCTTGGCCATCTGAATGTCTTCTTTGGTGAAGTGTCTGTTCATATTCTGGCCATTTTTCAATTGGGTTGTTTATCTTGTTGTGATGAGTTTCCTCATTTTTTTTTAGTTTCCTCATTTTTTAAAATAGTTTAATACCAATCTCATAGGAAATTAAATGAGGTATTTTTTCTATGTTATGGTAATTCAGTGATTAAACACTTGGCTGCCAAACAAGTCAGCAGTGTGGACCCAATTTCTGTTCTTCAGAACAAAGAGGTGGCATTCTGTTTCTTTAAAAATTACAGCCTTAACCCTTTGGGGAAGTTCTGCTCTGTCATACAGGATTTCCATGAGCCAGAATCAACTCAGCAGCAGTGGATTAGTTTTTCTGTTTGTTTTCTTTTTTTCCCTATGCGTATATTGTGTATCATACATTCAGACCCAGAATGTTAATAATCTGTAGTGAACAACACTGGAAAAAAGGTTCTATAACTTTAGCTGGCCCCTGAAATGGTCAATCCTTGCGATTCACATAGATACAACACATTGGCACATTTGGGAGACATTTGGCAGACTGGCCTAATTGTAACAGGACTTATTTGTTGATAAAGAATAATATTAAAAGTATTATTTTTAAAAGCTAAGTTATAAAAAAGAATCTTTGCTAGATTTTGATCATGAGAAATAATACTTTAATCAGAATATGACAGTGTTTTACCTTCTACAGACAAATACTAGAAGAGAGTTTACAACTGTGCAGAAATTTAGCATTTTAATATGCAGCTAGGTAGATCAAAGAAGATCAAAGAAGTAAATGTGGAGCAGATGAGTATTTAGGAACCAATAGAGCAGGCTGCAGGTGTTAGTGGGCAGAAGATTGAAAAATTTGAAAAAAGTAGACTAATCCTCGGATAAGAGATCTGTCATGGATTGAACTGTGCTTCCAAAAAGTTTATGTCAACTTCATGAGAACATAACTCTGGAAATGGCTTGGAAGTTATTTAATAATGTTGTTTGCCATTTATATAATGATGTAAGCATCTTGTATGTTTTAAATCTTATGCGGTAGTATTAGGGTAGAGTGTACAGCCTTATTTATGTCACCACCTTTCACTAGCTTACTGTAGTCGTGTTATTGCTTGAATCACATCTTTTTTCTCTACAAAAGCTAAAAGGACAGAAAATTAAGTAGAAAAAGAAGGATTTTATTACCACCACAACAGGATAGCCATGAGCTAAGCACATCTTTTGGCTCTCTTAGATCAAAGGGAAGATTGATGCCAAAACACATGAAAATCTACATGGAACCAAGAAGCCAAAGCTGAAGTGACAAAAATGTTCCTTCAGAGCTAACAAAAAGAGAAAGCTCTTCCCTAGAGACAGTGCTCCAAATATGGACTTCTAGATTTCTAAATTGTGAAGAAGCAAATTTATGTTTGTAAAAGCTATCCACTTGTGGTATTTGTTATAGTAGCACTGTAATACAGAGACAGGATCCTGAATGTCTTCTGTTATTCCTAAATATTGTGCATGGGCCTGATCCATAAATGTTATAAAGTTTGTATTTATTGAGCATTTCCTATATACATTTATATTTCACAGTAACAACTATTACCGCTTTTAAAAGATGAATAAATCAGTTTAAAGACATTAAATAGCTTATTTGAGGTAGCTAGTAAATGTCACAACTTCTATTTGTATTAGCTTCATGCCAGATAAACAGATTTGAGATTGTTGACTGCAAGTCATGGTGGCAGGGAAGACAACCAAAAATGCAGACATAATAATAAGCATCTTTTAAAATACCAAGTTAGTTCTAGTAGTGGGTACACCAAATAACTTAGTTCTCAAAGGTAATTTTTAACACTATATCAATCTTTATCAGACTATTTCTTGAATTTTGTTTATGCAAATTCTTCATCCCTGAGAAACAGATAGTAATTGTTTGATTTTTGACACCTGAGAAACAGATTTGTTTGACTCTGGATTCAACTTTTTTTTTTAACTTTACTACATTGTTATATTTTAGAAAAATTTGATGTCAGATATATATGAAAACTTGGGGACAAGAAACTACTAGTAGGGACACCAGGTATATAATAATGCTGATATACATTTTACAGTCCTGGCTCTTTTGCAAAATTTCTAACTTCATTATATAGCCTATCTAACTGGTCACTGATTTCACCAACATTCTTCAAAAAGGAACCCTTTTCTTCCTATGCATCTGCCAATCTGTGATCCTAGTTCTCTTATTAAATAGCAGATAGGTTTTCCATTATATCCCTTCCTTCCAGTTTCTCTTCCTTTGTAGAAGCATCATTGAAATCCCTGTAATTGTACCTCATTTTCTCAATCCCATGTCACAGTGTTCAGTCACTCACCACAGAAGAAACTGGTGTGCATTGATTTTTTTCCTGTAATTTTTTTCAGATTGGGGAAACAAGGCTTGAAACCAAACAGTCAACTCCAAAGCCCAACATTACTGAAGATTTTTCTCATGGATAATAATGGAAAAGGAGGGTCTCTGGTGTTCCACTTTAGAGGAAGCCTGGAAACCTGAGTATTGGTTAGACGGGCAACCAAAAATCCAAGACAGACATTTGGGCCAAGTGGCATTTATTCATAAGGAAACGCTCACTGAGAGGAAGGCCTGTGAAGACAATGAATTTGAAAGATGTTCCAGTCAGGGTTCAGTCCTAGACACAGAACAGAATATTCCTACAGGAAAAAGGACCCACAGTTGTAATTCACCTAGAAAAGATGCCAAGCAAAATTCAGAATTCATTAAAACTCAAAGAATGTTTGTAGTAAAGAAACTCTATGAGTGTAGTGAGTGTGGAAAAGCCTTCGGCCAGAGCTCATCCCTTCTTAAGCATCACAGAATTCATACTGGTGAGAAACCATATAAGTGTAATGTGTGTGGAAAACACTTTATTGAAAGTTCCTCCCTTACTGTACATCAAAGAATTCATACTGGGGAGAAACCCTACAAGTGTAATGAATGTGGAAAAGCCTTCAGTCAAAGCATGAACCTCACTGTTCACCAACGAACTCATACTGGAGAGAAGCCCTATCAGTGTAAAGAATGTGGAAAGGCCTTCCGTAAGAACTCATCCCTCATTCAACATGAAAGGATTCATACTGGAGAGAAGCCCTATAAATGTGATGAATGTGGAAAAGCTTTTACCCAAAGCATGAATCTTACAGTGCACCAGAGAATTCATACAGGGGAAAAACCCTATGAATGTAATGAATGTGGAAAAGCCTTCAGTCAGAGCATGCATCTTATTGTACATCAAAGAAGTCATACAGGAGAGAAACCCTACGAGTGTAGTGAATGTGGAAAAGCCTTTAGTAAGAGCTCAACTCTTACCCTACATCAGCGAAATCACACTGGAGAGAAGCCCTATAAATGCAACAAATGTGGGAAATCCTTTAGCCAAAGTACATACCTTATAGAACATCAGAGACTGCATTCTGGAGTAAAACCATTTGAATGTAATCAATGTGGAAAAGCTTTCAGTAAGAATTCATCTCTTACTCAACATCGGAGAATCCACACTGGAGAGAAACCTTATGAATGTATGATATGTGGAAAACATTTCACTGGTCGGTCATCACTAACTGTGCATCAGGTTATTCATACTGGAGAGAAACCTTATGAATGCAATGAATGTGGAAAAGCCTTCAGCCAGAGTGCATATCTTATTGAGCATCAGAGAATTCATACAGGTGAGAAACCCTATGAATGTGATCACTGTGGGAAAGCTTTTATTAAAAATTCATCCCTTATAGTTCATCAGAGAACTCATACAGGAGAGAAACCCTATCAGTGTAATGAATGTGGAAAAGCTTTCAGCCGGAGTACAAACCTTACACGACATCAAAGAACTCATACATAAGAAAAGCTGTGCCAATGGAATGAACTGGGGGTGAAAAACTTCAACATAATTCATGAAACTTCACCAGATAAGTCTTATAATGGAGAAATCTAATAAATGTAGAAGTCTTTTAATTCAAGTATAATATCAGACAATATGGAAGGGAACCATATAAAATAAAGTGATATAGTAAAACTGTAGATAAGGTTTAAGTAGCTTATATTTTAAACAGAGGATCTGTGATTAATAAAAGTTCTATTACTATATCCTATTGCAGAAATATTTAGGATTAATCTGTTTTGCCCTGGACATCAGAAGGGGGGAAACGTGAGAGTGCTTAACTTGACAGTTAAAAACCAGACATAAAATCTCTAATATGTCACTAATTTGAACAAGTTACCTGCTGTAATCATTTCAGTTTCCTCATCTTGCACATTATATACTTGAGGTTTGGAAAGTTCTTGTGTCTATATTTATGAATACTGGGAAATTTTTTATTATTTACTGCTATATATAGATAGATATAGATATAGATATAGATATATAGATATAGATATAGATATAGATAGATATATATAGTCTAGATGCTTCCCAGTCTGGTTTCTTTGCATGTTTTAAGTAAAAATTCTCTACCTCTGTTAACCTCACCACCTATTTCCCTTCCTCCACTGGTTTATTATTTTGTGCCCTGAAATATAGACTGATTCCTACCAGCTGATGAAATAATTGTTTAAATCTTATTGAGATAGGGTGCTGTTTTGAGTTTTCAGTCCTTAGTCATTAAACTGTTGTTAAATAAACTGATTTAGAACAGTATAGCTTCAATATTAGTTTTATGTGCATAAAATCAAATAAATACCTTTGTAGTGAAGTCTGAATGTGCAAGTTGGAAAAAGGTTGAGAGAGAGGTTGAACACTAATTGATACAGAAATCTGACACTATATTAACAAAATCTTTTCAATTCAAAACATACTCAAACACAATCACAGGGAAATTTTGGAGTTTTACAAGTAATTTTATAGTTATGATAAACATTTTAATGCTAAATATGTGCTCCACAGTATGTTAGACATTAAAATTACATAAATAAGACATGTTTTCTGTTATCAAGGGCTTAATTAATAAAATAAGATAGCACAAGGAAAGAAAGAAAACAAGTGATAAGTCAGAATTTATGTAACTTTATAACTGATAAAATGTTGGTACATAAGAGTCTAGAATGTCTTTTATTTATTTTTCAAGTGAAGAGTGGAATAATAATTAAAGTCAAAGAGAGTTGACCAATCTTACAGGGCAATGATTAGTTCAGTTTTAGGTCATTTGGATGAGGCTGTGGAACAGCCAAAAAATTCCTAGTCAGTAGTAGAATAAACAGAAGGTAAATAATAAAAGCAACTCTATGGTACTGTCATTGGATGGAGTAAAAGGAGGAAGAATAATCAAGCAGAAGTTGAAAGGAAAAAACAGAAAAAAATATCTAAAAATCTGGACAAGGCAGTATCAGATAGACATAAAGGAATTTTAACCTTGTTAATACCCCTCAGTCAACTATGACTCATAACCATCCTATTAACAACAGATGTGAACCTTGTCCAATCCTGAGCCATTCTCATGACCTCCCACTTGCTTGAGCCCATTGTTAAGTCACTGTGTCAATCCATCATAGTACAGGTTTTCCTCCCTTACACTGACCATCCACCTTTCACAGCATGAGGTCTTTTTCTAAGAATTGGCCCTTCCGGACAACACATCCAGCATAAGACAAAGTGTGATCCTTGTCTCTAAGAATCACCCTGGCTGTACTACCTCTCAAACAGACTGGTTTGTTCTTTGGCAGTCTATGGGATATTCTATACTGTTCACCCAACACAATCCAAAGGCATGGATTCTTTTTAACATTATTGTTGTTATGTGCTGTCAAGTCCAAACCAGTGAGTTTATACTTAACCCTCCAGTAGATTTTCAGACTGTAAAGTTAATGATGGTAATAATTAATATTGCCAAATACTATGGCAGCACTAAGTGTTTTTTTTAAAAAAGAAGTATGTCCATTTATTTTGTTTATAGAGGACTTTTGTAAATTTCAGTGGGTTGAAAACGTACTTAAAGGTGGGAAATAATTTGGACTTTTGAAGATATTTCTAATGATAACTAGATGGGAATAGTTGTTAGCTACTTGCTGTCAAAGGTGATTCTGACTCAGTTACACCACAAACGATAGAAGAAAACCCTGCTTGCTCTTGTGACAACCTCGTATTCTCTGCTCCATCCTTCATCACAATATCCTTCTTCCTAAGAAGCACTTTGCATGTCTTCCAAGATGGATTAGTCTGTCTTTTTGGTAATCTATGCTACAGTCAATATTCTTCACCAACACTGCTATTCTAAGATGTCAGTTCTGCTTCATCCCTCCTTATTCATTGTCTAACTTGCACATGCACATGACACAACTGAAAATGTCATGGCTTGAATCAGGTGTGCATGAGTCTTTAGATGGGTATCCTTGTTCTTCATAACTAAAGAGATCCTTGACAGCTGATTTGTCCAATGCAAATGCAACATGTCTTTTGATTTCCTGATTGCTTTTACCATTTATGTTGTGGATCCAAGTAAAATGAAATTTACAACATCTATCTTTTCTCTCTTTATCAATATACTTACAAATCCAGTTGTGAGAATTTTTATATTGAAGTGTAATGTATACTAAATGCTATAATCTCCGATCATCTTCCATAAATATTTCAAGATCTCTTCATGTTAAGCTACCAAAGTTGTATCTGTGTATCACAGGCTATTGTTGAAGCTTCTTCAAATCCTGATGCCCCAGTCTTCTTCAGATCCTTGTTATTAAGTGCTTTTTAGTTGAGTGTATCTCACAGCAACCCTGTCAACAACAGATGTGAACCCTCTCCTATGCTGTGCTATCCTCATCATCTCTGACACACTTGAATCCACTGTTGTAATCACTGTATTAATCCTGCTCATGAAGGATCTTCCTCTTTCACTGATCCTCTCCCTTTCCAAGCATGATGTCCCTTTCCAAAGAATAGCCTATTCTAGCAACATACCCAAAGTGAGACACAGCTTTGCCTTTACTTTCAGTCGTCCAGCTTTTAAGATTATTTCCTCAACAACCAAACTGAAAAGATAGAGCTCTGATGCACACATTATGTACTGAGTAATGTTAAGAGTTCTGGAATTCTGTTTCTTCAAATGTGTACAATTCTTCACCCAGAGTGGACAGGTTTCAGTGAGCATGCATCAAAGACAGATGGCTGGCACAGCTCCAAGTAAAGTATCTGAACTTGAGGCAGAAGGGTGGATAGCACTGGCAACATCTAGGACTTTTATGAGAGAAAAGGTTTTTCCCAGAAATATCTTGTCAGACTTCCGTTTAAATATCATTGCCCATGACTATTTTAGGCAGCCATCTGCAGCAGCTAGGGAGGCTCAGAAAATGAATTTAGTTCTCTTAGCCTTTATAGTGGAGATGGGGTGGGGGGCGGGGGGAATAAAGAGGTTTGACAGTGATGTTGATTTTAGCCAAGCAAGTAGTGGGAAGGAGTTGGTAAGGGAGACAATTGAATGTGTTTATGATTGGAAAGGAAATGGGCAGGGGAAAAATCCTGAAGGTGCAGGAAAGAGATGGTTATTCAGAAATGACCCTCCATTGAGTTCCTGACGGTGTAAAGCACACAGAATGAGCTGCTCATGTTTCTCCTGTGGAGCCACTGGAGAATTCAAACCTCCTTAGACCTGTGGCCTTTGAGTCAGCAGCACACTTCCCTGCAGACTAGGCAACCAGAGTTCCCCTCACTTCAAAGTAGTAGAAGTTACAACAAGAATATGGTTTAGGAATCAAGTGACAGGTACAAAATAAGCATCTGTGGGAATAATTGAGGAAATTCTTTTTGGGCTGTATGATCAGTCATTGTATTCATATTTGCCATCAATACCTTTTATTCCTCTCTCCCCCCATACTGTCCTATACCTGTCTTTCAGCCTTTCTTTTGCTACACTTTTCATAATTTTAATATTTTTTACTCCTATCTCTTTGTCTATGTCTCCTTATCTTTTCTCCTCCATTACTCTTAAGATCAGATGAGGAATACAAAGTATGATGGGTAATGAATATAAAGGAGAAATCTTATTAAAAAATATAAATTTCTGAGGAAACAGTTCAGTGTTTCACCCAAAGTCTTGCCTGCTCTCACTCCAACATTTTATACTGTGAAAAGCCAAATAGTTAAGGCTAGGGTCTGTATATGTGGGTGTTTCTGTGTGTGTGAGAGAGAGAAAGGGTTAAGAGTGAGAAAGCCATTGATAATGATTTATCCTGTTCTCCACAGCATCCCTGCCCTCCCATGCTGGAATGAAGGATAATATCTATTCATTTTAGAAAATGCCTAGCAGAGGGTATTCATATAATAGAGCTGAGGAGAGAAGGGACAAGTCATAGATCCTCATTTCGACCCCTTGCTTCAATATCCTTTGAAAATTCTTTTTTCACTTGACTTGAAATGCTGTACAGGCAAGACTCAGGGGAACAGGGCATGTGTGCTACCCCCTCATCCCTCTTCCTCTTTCACCACCACCATATGGGCTCCCCTTCTGCTTGCCACCCCCCTCCCACCTCTTCACTGATGGTGTGCTTTCTTTGATTACATTTATACACAACTCAAAAATGTCAGCTTTAGCTCTCCTATCTAATAACTTTTGGCTTCCTCCCAACCCTTCTCAAGTCCCTCAATCCTAACTCTAAAATTCCACCCAAATCGGCCTTTAAAACTATGCCTCACAATTCTTTTTCTGAACAGTTATTTATTTATGCTTTAATTTGCAAGTGGGGAGGAGAACTACCATGTAATCATTATCCACAGAGTAGGGTTCCTGGGAAGGTAAACAATGGCAGATATGAATAATACGTCGATAGAGATTTACTGGGCACTACTCATCAGTTGCTTCACCTCACATACTTTGGACATGTTGCTAGGAGAGGCTATTCTTTGGAAAAGGACAT